CAAACTTAGAACCACAGCCAGGGCACTGATAACCCTCCCTCTAAGTACTCATGAGCTTCCAAGTGGGGTTTAGCGTTGCCGGGGCCGCCAGGGGCTTGCTACATGGGCCCCTGAAGATGGTCCCTAAAGTTCCTTAAAAGGGTTTAGGGTTTAGGGTTCAGGGTCCCCGCCCCGCCCCCCTAAAGTTCCTTAAACGGGTTCTATGATATATGGGCCCTTGCTTGTTTTGGGGAAAAAGGTGGTATATAAGGGGTGCCCTTTAAGGTACTAAGGGTAACTAGCCTAAGAAACACCACCTCAGGGTTCTAAAGCAAGGCTCAGCCGTCGAAGGACGCCTGCAGAAGCGAAAATCCCCGAAACCCAAAACCCAACTCCCTAAACCCTAAGCCCCAAACATCCCCAAACCCCAAACCCCTTAACCCCAAACCCAAACCCTAAATCCCTCTAGGGAAGCTCGTGCAAAGGCCAAGCAGCGGCAGGGCACGACCACTTCAGGAGGCTCGGTCTTGCGGATGTGGGGGGGTTTAGGGTTCAGGGTTTGGGTTTGGGGTTCAGGGTTAAACCCTAAACCCTAAACCCTAAACCCTAAACCCTAAACCGTAAACCCTAAACCCTAAACCCTAAACCCGTTTAGGGTTTAGGGTTTGGGGTTTAGGGTCGAGGGTTTGCTGTGATAGGGCGTAGATGCTGTGAAGGTTAGGTTTCGGAACAAGCTCGAAAGCTTCGTGAGGTGCCGAAGAGCAGCCTTGGCCCGATTGTGGAGGGCCATCGAACACTTTTCTCCCACCCCACGCCGTCCGAGGCGGCAAAGCCACCCAAACCTATTCCTTTTAGGGTTTAGGCCTAAACTCAAGGCAACAGTCCACTTATTCAGTTTCATGGCGTTCGGGGTTGGGTCCGCGGCGAGGGCTCCTGGCCTCGGGGCCTTGGGGGGTAGTTTAACCAGAGGCGGGCAAGCGACCTGGGCCGGCCTAGGCCTGAGTTTGGGGCTAAGGGTTTAGGGTTTGGGGTTTCAGGTTTACGGGTTTAGGGGTTCAGGGGTTAGGGGTTCAGGGGTTTAGGGGTTTTTCTGCGGGTGTTGAGACTCGGAAATGGTTTGAAATGCTGGCGCATCGCCCGCTGCTGCGGTAAATGGCCATTGAACAGGGACTCCCCCGACACGCGGCCCTGGTGCCCACACTGTTTAGGGTTTAGGGTTTATAGGGCTTAACGAAGAAGACGTCCCAGTTCGTCATGTGTTGACTACGCGTGTCTTCGCGAATCACTGGACCCATAACGCTGCCTGCGATTCCGTATCTGAATCGCCTCATTGGGCTAGCCAAGCCCTTTTTGAGCCTAAACTAGGACCGCAAAAGATGCAAAAGATGCAAGTTTTTTGGGTTTTGGCTTTGTTCGCTAGCGAGGTATATTCCCTACAGACTAACGCGGCAAAAAGAGCCCCAGATTTCAATCCCCTTCCCCTTCCCCCCCCCCCCCCCCCCCCCGCCCCTATGTGTTTCGGGTTCAGGGCTGAGGGTAGGCTGGTTGGACTTTCTGAGGGTTTGTGGGGTTGAGGCCTGAGGGTTGTTTGCGTGAGTTTGTAGGGTTTAGGGTTTTAAGGTTGAGGCTTCATGTGTTTGGGGGTTAGGGTTTAGGGGTTGAGGGCCTAGGGCTTTAGGGGTTTGGGTGTTTAGGGGTTTAGGGGTCTACAGTAGGGCTCAGGGGTTTCTAGGTGTTCTAGGGTTTTTCTTGCCCTGGATCCTTCACTTATCAGACACAGGTCATGGTTGAGAGGCCCGAAGCCCAACACCCAAGGCCCCTTCGCCCAGGGTTTAGGGTTGATGGTTTCGGGTTCAGGGTTCAGGGTTTTCCTTGCGCCCTGTCCCTAAACCAATTGTCTGACTGGTTCATGGTAGATTTCCCGGGGAGTGACCCCTGCTCTAGAAGCCCGAGGGGGATGTGTAGGAGGCCACCCTAAATCCCAAACCCTAAACCCCTAAACCCTAACCCCTGAACTGCTAAACCCCTAAATCCCCAAATCCCGAGTTCCTTACCCAGAACCAGTAAGACACAAGGGTCCTCTCCTCTCCTTCCCCCGAGCCCTGCGTAGAGGTCTTTTCGAAGATGATCCACGTTGGGGGGCCCAGATGGGCTGAAGCACTAAGGCCCGAGGCTCTAACGGTGGAGCCTTGAGTCAACCCTTGAATTCAGGGATTTATCTTATTTTTGGGAGACCGAACCGAAGATACAGCGTCGGTTGTTGAGGCTTTTTGTGGCCCGGTGGTGCCCCTTTTCCCTTTTGTTGGTTCAAGGTCCCCTTATGCAGTAACCAACCCCCCAAGGTTTAGGGTTTAGGGTTTAGGGTTTAGGGTTTAGGGTTTTAGGGTTTAGGGTTTAGGGTTAGGGTTTAGGGTTAGGGTACCCTGATTTACAATATGGTTGCTGGGATACCAAGTAGGGTTTTTGCGGGGTCAGGGCCTTGTGAGGCGTTTTGTACTTGGGGTTCGCGGGGCTTACTTTGCGACTTTTAGGGGTTCAGGTGCTTGGTCTTCGTGCTTGTGGTTCAGAATTTGGAAGGAGCCGCAAAGGTTCGAAAATCCGAGGCCCGCTGGAAGCTGCGGTTTAGAGTCTTAGGGTTTAGGGTCTAGAGGGTTTAGGGCCGGTTTAGGATTCAGGGTTGAGGGTCTAGGGTTTCGGGTTTCGTGTTTAGGGTTTGGGGCTTCGGGTGTAGGGAAGACCGCTAGCAAGTGCAAAGCCCCTCCAGTGAAGCCCTGAAGCTCTGGAAGGGCCTGATAAACCCTAAACCCTAAACCCTATAGCCTGAGGGCTGAGCTGAGGTGCTGCTGACCACTGGCGGCGCGATCGGAGCCCCGATGACTACGACGATGGTGGTGTGTCCAGGACGCCCCCGCCCCCACCACCCCTCCTTTTCGTAAGAAGAGGCCTCCATGGGGGTTGAGCTTCTATAAAACCCAAAAGCCCTAAACCCCTAAGCCCTTTGTTTGGGGAAGTGTAAGAGCTACAGCAGAACGCAGACCCTGACTGGGCCCAACATGCCGCCCACATGGTCTCTTCGTTTTTCCTCGCTGGGTCTTTTCGTCGGCATGCACAGTAGCTACAGCCTCTGTTGTGTGTGGTGGCAGGCGTGATGACCGGCGTGATGGCTTCCGCGATGGCCGGCGTGACGACCGGCGAGACGACCGCCGAGACGACCGGCGAGAGGACCGGCGCGACGACCGGCGTGATGATCGCCGGGACGACTGGCGGGAGGACCGGCGGCCTGAAAGACGTGAGGAGAAGCGGCCCGAGGCAAGCCGGCCAAAGGCGGGGCCCGGGGGGGGGGGGGGTTGATGACAGCTTGCGACGTCTTTGCATATGGAATTATTATCTGAGTTGAATGGGCCTAGACTCAGAGCTCCTGGTGGGAGCCCTAAGCTACCCGGAGCCCCGACCCCCGGTGTTTGCAGGCCCAGATCTCGGCTGGCAGCAACGAGGGCGCCTTTGTGCCGAGACTCGCTGACGGCTCAGGGTTTGGGGTGGGGTACCTTTTTGGGGGGGCCTTTGTTATAGGGGAATACCCTAAACCCTAAACCCCAAACCCCAAACCCTAAACCCTAAACCCTAAACCCTAAACGGGGAATCTTACTATTTGCGGGTCTTGTGTTAGAGGTCTCTTATTCTCGGAAAGCCCCCCAAAAACGGTCAGGCTTTGAGTCGGCCAGGGCGCCCTGGGATTCTAAACCCTAAACCCTAAACCCTAAACCCTAAACCCTAAACCCTAAACCCTAAACCCTAAACCTCAAAATATTAATACCCCCCTAATTTAAAGAACCCCCTGGCCTTTAATATGAGCGGGAAGGGATTAGATGGCTGTGAGCATTTTCGTGCTCGGAAGCCTGCGCCGAAGCACTTAGGTTCCGGGTTTGGGGTTTAGGGTTTAGGGTTTAGGGTTTAGGCGTCGCTCTGAGGAATCCATGGATCTCCTCCATCCGTTGCCCGGGTTTCGGGTTACGCCGTAAGCACTACCCCTACTTGGAGGCCTTGTTCAAAAGGAACTTGAAACAGGGTTGAGGGTCTCTCAACCCTAAACTCTAGACCCTTAGACTCTCAAAAGGATCTTGGTTCCTAGGGGCCTTCGGGGGATGTAGGTTCGGGGTTTAGGGGATTAGGGCGGGTGTTAGGGTTCAAGGGTGGTTGCTTGTGGCCCTAAACCCAAAACCCTAAGCCCTAAACCCTACACCCTACACCCTACACCCTCAACCCGAAACCCTAAACCCTAACTTTCGGTTTAGCGCTTAGGGTTCAAGCCACAAAGCTTCCGGTTTTCAAGAGCCCTAAGCCCCAGAGGTTTTAGGGATTGACAGGGTTTGGGGTCTGGGGTTTGGGGTTTAGGGTTTAGGGTTTAGGGTTTAGGGATCAGGGTTCAGGCTTCAGATTCAGATTCATTTCTTGCTTTGCCTCTGCATGTTCGGCTCGGGGAGACCTGCAACTCCGGGGGGCAAAGCCCTGAAATTTATGAGGGTTTAGGGTTTAGGGTTTAGGGTTTAGGGTATTTCTGCGAACCATCACGCCTTTAGGTGGAAACAATTGGCCCCTAAACCCTGAACTGTCAACCCAAAACAACCCTGAGCCCTAAACCCGAAGCCCTGGAACCAAACATCTTCCCATGCTCTGAGCCAGAACCCAAACCCTTACCTCGAGTGCGATAGGGGGTTGAGGGGTTGGGGTTAACGGGTTTAGGGTTTAACGTTCAGCGTTTAGCGTTTAAAGATAAGGGTTTAGGGTTTAGGGTGTAGGGTGTAGCTGGATTCCAGGCAAGGCCCTACACAGGGTGATTGGAGTCCGAAGCAAAACCCACGCGAAAACGCCACAAGCTGCTAAAAGCCCTAAGCCCTAAATTAAACCTCTGTTAGGAAGGGGCCAACATACGCACCCTAAACCCTAAACCCTAAACCCTAAACCCTAAACCCTAAACCCTAAACCCTAAAGGCTTAGGGAGAGTCTGAAGTCCTGCGTCCGGAATGCCGAGCTCCATGGCATTGCCGTTGACGTACAGGCCGCGCGACCAAAACAACCAATTTAGAGAGGGTTTAGGGTTTTAGGGTTTTAGGGTGTTAGGGCTTCAGGGTTTTAAGGTTCATGGTTTTGGGGTTTTAGGGTTTCAGGGTTTTGGGGTTTAGGGTTCAAGGGTTTTTCGGGTTTAGGGCTCTAGGGCTTCTGGGAATTTAGGGGTTTTAGGGCTCAGGGTTTCAGGGTTTTAGGGAAACAGGTTTCAGGGTTTTAGGGTTCAGGGTTGAGTTTGCTGTCCACCTGGGAATAGTTCCTGAAGGATCAGCTGCCTGTTTGTTCGACCCAACCCTGGGAACTTTTGCGTCGATTCCGACTCGGCTACGAGGCAGTATCCTATACATACCCCAAATTCTGAACTCTATGCTCTAAAAACCCTAAACCCTAGCCCTAAACCCTAAACCCTAAAACCCCCAAACCCTAAAACCCCCAAACCCTAACCCCAAACCCCAGACCCCAGACCACAAACCCCAAACCCCAAACCCCCAAACCCCAAACCCCAAACCCCCAACACCCAAACCCCAAACCCCAAACCCCAAACCCTAAACCCTAAACCCTAAACCCTAAACCCTAAACCCTAAACCCTAAACCCTCACGAAGTCTTTCCGGATCCCTCGCAGGCCCATCGCAGCTTTGCCTGCCATGGGCCAGGCGGAGCTCTGGGTTGACTTGGGCATTTCCCCCCCCCCCCCCCCCCCAAATGGGAGTTTAGGGTTTAGGGTTTAGGGTTTAGGGTTTAGGGTTTAGGGTTTAGGGTTTAGGGTTTAGGGTTTAGGGTTTAGGGTTAATGGGATTTTAGGGTTTAGGGTTTAGCGTTCAGGGTTATGAGTGCCCTATCTACACCCCTGTAGTACATTTCCCTTTATCCCCCCCAAAAAACACGAAATACGAATACACAAAAGAAAGTAACAACAAAAATGAATCGGGTACTCGAAAACTGTAATCCCTAGAATCCAATGAATTTCCCTTGAAGGTTTTGGCGGTTAAGCATCTGGGGGGTTCGATCTTCAATGTGCGTTTTTTGAGATTTTGGGGTTTGTGCCTCTAACGTTTGGGGGTTTATCCCTAGTCATGGCTTCGATATGAGGGCTTACAAAAAATCGAATATAGACCCCCAAATAGTGGGATCCCCTTACAATAAGGACCCCAATAAGGTACCCTAAACCCTAAACCCTAAATCCCCTACTATCGTAAACCTCCATATCTTGATGCTGGCTCGCAGGCACTCAGTCCTGGTGGCTGCGTTGCGCTGGCATCTGGCCGGGCGAAGGCCCCCCTCACCTCATGCAACCCCGGAAACCCCTCAACCCTCAACCCTCAACCCTCAACCCTCAACCCTAAACCCTAAACCCTAAGAGAGCCCGCTCCTCCCTGTTTGCGGTTCCCAAACTTGAGATCCTCATCCCCAACCCACAACTTCAAAGCTCCCGAAGCCGAACATTGCACAAAATTTGACCCCCAAACCCTAACCCTTGGGTTTAGGGTTTAGGGTTTAGGGTTCAGAGCTTAGGGCTAAACTCCTGTACACCCTCAGCCCCTGCATGGGTTGCGTAAAGTCCTCAAAACCCCACATCGTGTTTCAGTGGTTCTGGAGCCGAGGTGCAACGTCGTCTCAGGACCGCGAGGTGTGGAGGTGCTGCCGGATTTGGGGTTGAGGGTTGAGGGTTGAGGGTTTAGGGTTTAGGGTTGAGGGTTGAGGGTTGAGGGTTTAGGGTTGAAGGTTGAAGGTTTAGGTTTAGGGTTTAGAGTAAGAAAACCCCGGCGCTCATTCATTGCGTTCACTTCGGAAACACATGCGTTCGCTTTGTTCACATGTATGTTGCTTGTTCAGCTAGTTCACGCTTTTAGTCTATTATTCTGGTGAACTGAGTGAATAAGTAGTGTACGATCGTAGTGAATGAAGTGGACACCCAACAGACCTCATAATTTTGGGCTGAGGGCTTAGGATTTCAAGCAAAGTTTAATCGGGTTGCTTGGTAAGTTTTAGTAGTTCCTGGTAGTAGGGTTCAAGGGTAGAGGGCTTTGTGAGATGTGGGGTGTAGGAGGGTGTTGAGATTCGAGTGTTGAAGCGTCTGGTTGGGTTTATCGTTTAGGGATTGTTTAGGGCTGAAGAAGTTTGGAGCCTTGAGCGCTCTGGAATCCTAACGAAGCCCTGAGCGCTGCCACGCTAAGCCCACCCTACACACCAAACCCTACACCCTAAACCCTAAACCCTAAACCCTATCCCCTAAACCCTAAACCAGGTGCTGAGTCGGTAACCTTTGACTTCTCTTTTCCTTGCAAGCCCTCTCAAAGCCAGATGTTAAACCTTCTTCCCTTTCCCTAGAGCACGCAGCCTTCAAGAAGTTTGAAACCCTATAAGCCCGAAACTCTACTTGGAGATTCATGGGTACTTATCACCCCCAAAAATAAGTCTACTTCTCACCGGGCTTATAAGTTCAGTTAGAATTGGGTTAGAAAAACCCTGAGCCTCCAAATAGGGTTTGGGTTTTGGGTTTTCGGGGGACGCGACAACCTGAAAGCCCAATGCTAACAACCCGAAGAGCTTGAGCATGCAGTACGGCCAAAATCGTAGAGCAGTACTGCCCGAACCCAAAAGTCTACACCCCAAATCCCTAAACCCTTTGCACCCTTTGACCATTTACCCGTGCCTGGCATTGGGTTTCGGCATGACAGACCACAACCATCGCCGGCAGACTTCTGCATCGTGTCCCTCCGGACCCTTTTTCCTGCGCCGACGAAACTTGAACCCCGTATCCTGGAGACGGAAACGGCTGGCAGCTGAAAACGGTTGCGCGTAGGATATTTAGTGAAAGGCCCATGAGTTCAACTCATGTCTTACCATGCACGATGCAACGACAGCTTCTTGTAGTTTCGAGGGGACCTCGACGCACTGCGTCGGTGCACGGAAGACGGTTGTGCGTATGAAGCAGCTTGGGCCAGCTTGGGCACAAGTCCAAGGTCAGGTGGAGCTGGGCCGCCTTAACGGTTCCCGGGTCGCCAGCATCACCGAAGAGACATGAGATAAACTTCTTGGGTTGGTTTATACCCTAAACCCTAGACCCCAAACCCTAAACTTCTTGAGTTGGTACCCTTTACCCTAAGCCCTAAACCCCAAACCCCAAACCCCAAACCCCAAACCCTAAACCCTAAACCCCAAACCCCAAACCCCAAACCCCAAGCCCCAAACCCGAAACCCGAAACCCCAAACCCCAAACCCCAAGCCCTAAACCCCAAACCCAAGCCCTAAACCCTAAACCCTAAACCCTAAACCCTCCGAAGCTTCAGGGCGAAAGTTCCCAGAGATGCTCCGGCGCTCGCTGCTGGCGGCCGTGGTGGGCGTCTCGGGTTTCTTAAAGGGTCAGGGTTTAGGGTTTAGGGTTTGGGGTTTGGGGTTTGGGGTTTAGGGTTTAGGGTTTGTAGAGTTTGGGGTTACGGGCTTAGGTTTGAGGTCCTGTGTGGATACGGAGCCAGATACAGAACATGCATATCGGGCACCCAAAAAGGCACATAATGTGGAGATTCCCCCGAGCAGGTTTGGGATGGTTTGGGGTTCAGGGTCCGGAGCAAGTGGGGTGTGTAGGGCTCTGTATTCAAGGGGTTCATAGTGTGGCATTTGGGAAAAATAGGTTTTTGGGGTTCCTAGTTTCGGGGTTCTTGTTTTGGTTTAGGGCTTCGGGGTTTCGAGTTTTGGGTTCAGGACCCCGGAGTCAGGCCTTTGTTGTTTTGTTTTTTTTTTGGGGAGTTGCGGTCTGAAGACGCTGAGGCTGGATTCTGAGGCTCTTCTGGATTGTGCCCTTGTGCGTCGGAAAGCGAAGTACCAAAAAAAAGGAGGAAGCCCAAACAACGAATGCCAATCCAGGTTGCAGAGATACATCTGAAATCTGTTTCTCTGTCCAAAGCTACCCTCACCCCTAAACCGTAAGCCCTAAACCCTGAGGCTGTTAGAGTCTGTATGGTGTTTTAGGGTTTGAGTTTTAGGGCTCCGCGCTTTAAGAGTTTTTTGGTAACCCTAAGCCCTAAACCCTAAGCCCTAAGCCCTAAACCCTAAACGCTAAACCCCAAGCCCCAAGCCCCAAGCCCGGTACCCTAAACCCTAAACCCTAAACCCTAAACCCTAAACCCTAAACCCTAAACCCTAAACCCTAAACCCTAAACCCTAAACCCTAAACCCTAAACCCTAAACCCTAAACCCTAAACCCTAAACCTAACCCTAAACCCTAAACCCTAAACCCTAAACCCTAAACCCTAAACCCTAAACCCTAAACCCTAAACCCTAAACCCTAAACCCTAAACCCTAAACCCTAAACCCTAAACCCTAAACCCTAAACCCTAAACCCTAAACCCAATTCCTTTCTTTTTTTGGGGATCCTGTAGTTCCAAGGTGTTGGTTCCTGGGGCCGCCAGAGCCAAGAAGGCCCCAGGCCAGCTCTGAGTTCTTCTCAAGGGACCCCCCCCCCCCCTCAGGTTTAGGGTTTAGGGTTTAGGGTTTAGGGTTTAGGGTTTAGGGTTTAGGGTTTAGGGTTTAGGGTTTTCGGTGTTAGGGTTTAGGGTTTATGTTTTGCGGTGTTAGGGTTTAGTCGGTGTTAGGGTTTAGGGTTTATGGTTTGGGGTTTAGGCTTTATAGGGTTTTGGGGGGAAGTCGCGTGGTCCCTTAGTATGGTCTCTCAGCTTCGTTAAAGAGTTCTGAAGTATCAAGCCGTGGCTGTTATAGGGTATTTGGGTTCCCCAATTAAGGGCCCATATTCAGTTACCATGGAGTTACGCTTAGACATTAGGGCCCCTCTTGCTTGTAGGCGCCTAGGGTCTTATAGGGTGTGGAGGGATGCTCGGCTTGTACGGGGTTTGGCAGGGGGTGCAGCATGTTTGTTGAAGGTTCGTTTGCTCCAATGGAGTGCTCCAACGGAGTTGTGGAGCTCTAGATATTGCTGCCGTCACCCTTTCGCTGCATTCGTGTAGCCCGAAGCCCGAAATCTGTAAAGCCGCGGCCCCAGCCCTTTGCCCTAAATAAACCCGTATGAGTCCTTAACCCTCAGCTTGAAACCCACAATTTCTAAATTGAACGCTTTTTACGCTCAAGCTTCTGGGCCTTTCAAGTTTCATGAGGGCCTTCAAGCACTTGCGTCCGCGTAGCCTAAACCCTAAACCCCTAAACCCCAAACCCGAAACCCTAAACCTCCAGACCTTCGGGGCCGCTTCGCCGTCGTGACTGGGGCGGGCAGAGGCATTGGCAAAGGTGCCCATGGGAGGGAAGTGGAGGGTAGTTTCATGGGCCCTTAATATGGTGGGGTCTAGGGCTTGGGGCTCAGGGTATAGGGTTTAGGGCTAGGGTTTAGGGTTCGGGTTTAGGGGCAGTTTCGATTCATGGGCCCGTAACATGGTCCCTAACCTCCTCTAAAAAGCTCAGATGTATGGGGGCTTTTTTTCTATAGGGTGCATAAGGGGTATAGAAGGGAGCGAGGGACGGGGGGGGGGTGGGGGGGGGGGGTTCGAAACGTCCCTGTGGTGATAAATCAACAGAGTAGTTTGGGGGTTCACGAGTGTAGGGGTACCCTAATATACCCCCAAATACAACAATCCTGATTCTGGGACGTTTTCATGAGTCAGGATTCACGCGCTCGAATGTGAAGACGCCCTGGGTGGAGCTGGAATGGTTTGTGATCTCAGCCAGGACACTCCATCACCATACCCTGCCTAGGGTTGAGGGACTCATTCAACGACAGGTGTGATCACGAAGCCACCATTTGCGAATCTTCACGTAAAATCCCACAAAGGTGGTTAGCACTGCAAGCTGTCTGCACCTAAACCCACACACACACACACACGTGGACTTGTGATGCGTTCAACCCTTGTGAATATTCGTAAGGCGAGCAAAAGGAACCACAGCAGCATCCAACAAGTGCAAAAATGAGCAACAAGTACAGAGGGATCCCCAGACACCTCCGAACCCCGATTTTTTTGGAATCCATACGAGCCACGCAAAAGTTGCAGAAATGTTATACAGAAGATGGAAAGAGGTTTAGGGGTGCGGGATTCGGATTTAGGGTTGAGGGTTTAGGGTTTGAGAATCATACCTTCGAATGAACACAAGAAGCACGAACAGACAAACAAGCTAAGCAGAATGCTGTGAAGAGGCTGTCAGGGTGAAATTGCTGCTTCGAGTCGAATGCTTGCAAACACATGCAGGCTACGCACTGATCTGAAGGATGGGCGCATGCCTACTCTGGCGACGTCATCCAAGAAGCTGTGGCTCCTGGCCTGCGGGGACAATTGCTGAAGTTGCGAAGTCTGTGTGTCTTGATGCTGAGGTTCGAAGAGCTTGGGCGGTGCTTGAGTGGACGCGAGCAGCTAGCCTCGCTGGGCTTTCCATGCTTTGGAAGCATGTGTGTGCGATCAGGGGTGGCTACCAGACAGCAAGTACACTACAAATCATCGGTGGGCCCTAAACCCTAAACCCTAAACCCTAAACCCTAAACCCTAAACCCTAAACCCTAAACCCTAAACCCTGAACCCTGAACCCTAAACCCTAAACTCCCTGGAAGAACAGGCTTGATGTCCTCTACAATGCTAAGGCTGCACAGCAAGGGGTACGACCGACAGAAAGGTTATTCAAGTATAAGCCCTAAACTACCCCAGGCCCTAAACCTAAATGTCCTAGCAACCCGAACCCGAAACCCTAAAGTTTCCCCAAGCACCAGACCCTGAAACCCAAACCCTAAACCTCAAACCCTAAACCCCAAACCCTAAACCCCAAACCCTAAACCCTAAACTTTACCGATTACCCTAAACACTAAACACCGAGCCCTGAACCCTAAACCCTCAACCCGAAACCCTAAACCCCAAACCCTAAACCCTAAACCCCAAGCCCCAAACCCTAAACCCTAAACCCCAAACCCCAAACCCTAAAGCCTAAACCGTAAACCCTAAACCCTAAACCCTAAACCCCGAACCTTCCGGAGGTGTGGCAGTCGGCCTCGGGGAGCTCGGCGCCACGGTGTTCACCACCGGCCGGAGCCGGTGCGGCGGGATTGGATTGCTTTGAGGGGTTTAGGGTTTAGGGTTTGGGGTTTAGGGTTTAGGGTTTGGGGTTTGGGGTTTGGGGTTTGGGAGTCCGGGTTTGGGGTTTGGGGGTTAGGGTTTGGGGTCCAGGGTTTGAGGTTTAGGGTTTGGGGTTTAGGGTTTAGGGTTTAGGGTTTAGGGTTTTAGGGTTTAGGGTTTCGGGTTTAGGGTTTAGGCCTTGTGGGGCTTCGGCGTTGCAGCGCCTAGGGCTCCTTGACGTGAGAGAGCGCTAGAGCTTGGCACGCTCAGCTCCAAAACTCCAAGCCCGAAGGGTATTTCCCTAGGATGCCCAGTACCACCCTTTTTCCCCTTTTTGGGGGTTGTAGGTTCCCTTATGAACCCCCTTAAGCCAAAAAGGGCACCCTTTTGTATCCTAGGTTACTGGGCAACCTAGTTCCCCGAAATCGGGATACTGGGCTTTGGTGTACTATACTTTAATACTCTTTTGGTCCTGGGTTCCTCTTATAGCTACTTATCCCTAAAAAGTATGTACTTTTTTTGCAGGGTCTACTCCAAAGGAGGGGGTACCTTGAAGATGCTCCAACACGCTAGGAAACCTCCGAAACAAGGCACCACTATTGGAAACCCCCTCGTACATCCCTTCAGCTCGCCAGGGCTTCCCTCAGACTCTAAAAAAGAGCTCCTACTCTAAGGTTTTAGGTTTTTCGGTTTTAGGTTTTAGGTCTTAGGGTTTAGGGTTTAGGGTTTAGGGTTTAGGGTTACTAGGTAGGCCCTTGGGGCAGTTCACATCTTCCCTTGCGGGGGACGGGGATTGGGGCTACGGTTTCGGTTTTCGCGCTGTTCTTTTTAATGGCGTTCTAGAATACAGCGGGCTGACTAATCCATAGCCCCCCCTAGGAATAATTCTATATGTTGGTTTACATAAAGCCCCAAAGAATATTCACAATGTCACTCTTTTTTTTTTGATGGCTCTAAGGGGAGTATAGCAACTTTACCCTTTTCAACGCAAAACAAGAGCAATGTAAACCCTGAGCCTTAAACCCATGCCCGCAAAGTGGGATCTTAGACTCTTTCGCTGGGGCTCAGGGCTTCTCAGGCTTTTGGGGGGCTCGAAGCCCTTCAGCGGGTGCCATCATGTGCCCTGAACTATGTTAAGCCCTTGCTTGGAGACTCATCAGGGTACCTATAGGTAGGGTTGTAAGTACGTTAAGTAAGCTTATAGCCATACCTGCCCCACTTTCAGCCATACTTGGCAGTACTCATGACCTTCCAAGTAAAAGGTACGTCTCAAAGTAAGGATGCCATACCCATTACCCATTTACAAGTGCCAATGAACCTCCAGGTAGGGATTGTAGGATCTAGGGTTTCAATCCCGACGCCCGAAGCTCCAAGACTAGTATCAAAGGTGAATATGCGGAAGGACTTTCTTAGTAGTAGAGTAGGTAACCTTTAACCTTTTTGGTTTAATATATTCCCCTTATAATTCCAAAGGTTAACCTTTAAAACCCCTGGGTACTGGACAACTAAGCTTTAGCATACCCCAAATTTCGTCTAAGCAAGGGGTATGCCCAAGGGGTATGTTGAATTTTTCTTAATTTAGTAGCTGAGTGAGTACACTTTACACTTTTTGGGCTACTATAATCCCCTAGAGAACTGAAAGTGTGCACTTTTTGGGGGCTTATGAACTCAGCAACAAAGTAGAGAGCCTGAAGCCCGACGGCCAGAGCCTTCAAGCTGAGCTGCAGGAAGGCGCTGGACGTGACTTGCGATCTCGTGCGGAGGGCCGGTGGTACAGGCCGGCAATTCGGGGTACAATCATGGGGTACAAGGGGCGTTACAGTATGAGGGATAGGGGGGTGGGTTTAGGGTTTAGGGTTTAGGGTATAAGGAGTGTATAAGGGGGGGGGGGGTGTGAGAGGTGGCAGTTCCGGATGCGAAGATGGTTTATTGCTTGGTGCTTGGGGTTTAGGGCTCAGGGTCCGTTGAGCCCTAAAAACCCCCCCAAAACCCCATAAACCCCTTAAACCCCAAGATCCTAAACCGTAAACCGTCTGTTCTTTTCTATGTATTATTTTGGTAAGGGTTTGGGGCTTTCAGGGTTTTAGGGCTTAGACCTTTAGCGCTTTAGAGCTTTCGGGGCTTGGGGCTTCAGGGCATTAGAGCTTTAGGCCTTAGAGCTTTAGAGGTTGAGGGTTTCGTTTGCGCAAGCCCAAAACCCTAAACCGCGGAAAACCGCCTAAATCACCTAAACCGCCTAAATGCCAAACCCTAAACCCTAAACCCACCAAACCCCAAACCCCAAACCCTAAACCCTAAACCCTAAAACCCTAAACCCTAAACCCTAAAACCCTAAACTGGGTTGAAAGCGGCCCATGCCAGGAGTGCCAATTCTGTGTGACCATGGCCTGCGCCTCGGACCTGTCACTCATGGGATCCGGGCCCCACTACCTTGGAGAGAAGTGTCGGGTGCCCTAAACCCTAAACCCTAAACCCTAAACCCTAAACCCTAAACCCTAAACCCTAAACCCTAAACCCTAAAACCCTAAAACCCTAAAACCCTAAAACCCTAAAACCCTAAAACCCTCAACCATAAGCCCTAAATTCTACACCCTAGACCCTAGACGCTCCATACAGGCAGCCGCGCAGCCGAACACCCCAAAACACCAAGCTCTCAAACCCTACTTGGAGGTTCATGGGTACTTATAGCCCCAATTGTATGCATGCCCCCTAAGTCCCCTAAGTCCTCTAAGTAGGTTATAAGCCCCTAAACCCTAAACCCTAAACCCTAAACCCTGAGACTTATAATTCGGGTTATAAGTACCCATGAACCTCCAAGTACAGCCCTAGGCAGAGACTCCACAGCTGACCTCAGGGTTTTAGGGTTACAGGTTTCGGGTTTAGGGGTTGGGGTTTAGGGTTTGGGGTTTTGGGTTTGGGGTTTAGGGTTTGGGGTTTAGGGTTTCGGATTAGGCTCAAACTTGGTTTGGGGTGGGCTCATAGGGGTTTAGGGGCTTGATCTCCCCACACAGGCTTTGGGAGCTTAGGGAGTAGGATGCCTCCTGACACCCTAAACCCTAAACCCTAAACCCTAAACCCTAAACCCTAAACCCCAAACCCTAAACCCTAAACCCTAAACCCTAAATCCTACGGGAGTGTAGGGAAGGAAAGGAACCAGGATGCCAGCAAAAGTGCACCCCTAAGACCTAAGCCCTAAGCCCTCAACCCTAAACCCCTAACCCTAAACCCTAAACCCTAAACCCTAAACCCTTAACCATAAACCCAAAACCCTAAACCCTATACCCTGAACGCCGAACCCTAAACCCTTAAACCCTCAACCCCAATCGGGTCGGAGTCTGATCCAGGCTCAGAGGGCTGTTGAGGGTTTAGGGTTTAGGGTTTAGGGTTTAGTGTTTAGGGTGTTCCGACCCCTGTGTTAACCCTCGTTTGGGGTCCGAAGGGTTTGTCGTTGACAAGGCTGACAGGGTTGGTTTATCGGGTTTATAGGGTTCATACGGTTGCCAATGCTTACATGGCTTATACAGGGCTTAGGGCCTAAACCCTATAAACCCCAACCGGCCCTCAGCGCTTGTTGCCGGATGCCCAGGTGATGACGCCCAGGCGGGCGCTTTGTTCGGATGACTTGTTGGCGATCTGCACCCTGTAGGGAGTTTGATGGCATCGCTGGTTGTCAAGCACCTGTGGCAAGTGGAGCAGTCCCCACAAGTCCCCTCCCAGATGTTCCCTCCCACACCTTCCCAAGATAACATATTCGAACAGCACCATCATTCATCCATCTCATTTATCTGTTGGCTTTATCGTTTTTCGTTTATCTTTGTCTTCGGGTTCTTCCTTGCACTCTTCCATAGTCGAGCAGGCAGGGCACGTGCATGAACGCGCATGTGACATCTTTAGGGGGCCGGTTGCTTCAGGTCTTGAGGTCCGAGTCAAAGCTGCCCACCAGAACGGACCCCTAGTTCCGATGGCCTTCGTCACCTTCGTCCCTATCACCTCGGCTGCCGGATCGCTGCCGACACTGCCAGCTCTCTCAGGCCCTTCCCCTCTGGGTCGCTCTTCGGGGGCCGAGCAGCAGTCGTCGTTGCCGGCGGCGGCAGCAGTCGCAGCTCTGGCAGCTGCATCTGCTGTGGGTCGCCGGAAGGGCGCGCGGTCGCGGGTGCAGCGGGCTGCAACGGAGGTCGGCCGGCGTGGAGGCGTGCTCGCTGGCCTTGCTGCTGCTGCTGCGGTGGCCCGGCCGAAGCCGGCGGTGGCCGCGGAGAAGCTCACGAAGCAGACCGCAGAGAAGGCCCAGGCAGACATCGAGCAGATCATCAAGGCTGATCCGAACAAGGGGCCGACGCTGGTCCGGCTGGCTTGGCACTCCTCCGGAAGCTACGACAAGGTCTCGAAGACCGGAGGTTCTGGGCCCGGAACCATCCGCTTCAAGGAGGAGCTCGCGCACGGGGGCAACGCGGGACTCGACAAGGCAGTCGCGTGGCTCGAGCCGGTGAAGCAGTCCAATCCTAGCATCAGCTATGCTGACCTCTACACCCTGGCCGGCGTGACTTGCTGTTGGTTATAAGGTACCCCCTATCTATCTGTATGTATATATATCTACCCTTTAAAGGATTATAGATGGCACCTTCTTCCCCCCCCCCCATTCCCTACTAAGCAACACTAAGGTGACCGCCATCAAGACGCTCGGTGGCCCGGACGTGCCGTGGCGTGCCGGGCGCGTGGATTCCCAGAGCCCCAGCGACGTGACCCCCGACGGGCGCCTGCCCAACGCCTCCAACGGCTCCTAGCTAGGCCCTAATTAGGGATGTGTTTACATTTGCCCTTCTTGGGTTTAAGAGGATCACTAAGCCCAACAGCCGAACCCTAAACCCTAAACCCTATAGACCCTAAACCCTATAGACCCTAAATCCTATAGACCCTAAACCCTAAACCCTAAACCCCAAACCCTAAACCCTAAACCCTAAACCCTAAACCCTAAACCCTAAACCCTAAACCCTAAACCCTAAACCCTAAACCCTAAACCCCAAGAGGATCCTATTCATGAATATTCAACTTTCAGAGGGTTCTGAGGGCCATCTTAGGCTCCGAGCAGAAGGACGTCAGCCATCTACGGGATGTCTTCTACCGCATGGGCTTCTTGTTAGCCCCAGTGGGGCCCTGATTACCCCTTTTCTTGTGGTTCTGGGTTCAAACAAAAGTAGCCAACCCCAACAAGGGTTTAGGGTTTAGGGTTTAGGGTTTAGGGTTTAGGGTTTAGGGTTTAGGGTTTAGGGTTTAGGGTTTAGGGTTTAGGGTTTAGGGTTTAGGGTAGTTCTAGAATATTCTAATATGTTTTGTTTGGTCTACCAAGGCTTCAATGACCAGGAGATTGTGGCCCTGAGCGGCGCCCACGCCCTCGGCCGCTGCCACGCGGATGCCTCGGGCTTCGTGGGCCCATGGACCCCGACGCCCACGACCTTCAACAACTTGTACTTCAAGCTCCTGGGCTTTTGGGTGTCAGGGTTTAGGGTTTAGGGTTTAGGGTTTAGGGTTTAGGGTTTAGGGTTTAGGGTTTAGGGTTTAGGTTCTCTTCTGGCTGGCTCTTAGGACTTCAACCTTTCGGGTTTTTGGTAGAAGCTACAATAAGCAGCCTGAGGGTTAAACTTGTGGGGAGGGGTTCAGAAGTCAGCCAAGGCTCCTCAAGACTACCAAGTGGGAGGAGGGCTGCATCACAGGGGAGACCTGCAAGAACCCTCAGTACCGCAACGTTGACACGAAGCAGTTCATGATGCTCCCTACGGACATCGCACTCCTGAAGGATCCCAGCTTCAGCAAGTACGTCGACCTCTACGCCGACGACCAGAAGGTCTTCTTCAAGGACTTCTCCAAGGCCTTCTCCACGTTGCTTGAGTTGGGCACGAAGGACCTCTACACCGTCGCTTGAGTGAGAGATTAAGAGAGGCGCTGGGCAAACGCATGGACCGGTTTTTGAAGGTCGTCAGATTTTGGATGTGCTACCACAGTGTACGCTCCCAGCAATTAGCTATACATTCGCTCGGTAGAGCGTCGAAGAGTCGAAGCTGCGTTCCGGAGAAGCTTCATGTAAAAAGGTCAACCCGCAGCCCTAAATCCGAAACCCTCAAACTCTAAAAACCCTGAACGTTGAGCTTGAACTTTAAAACCCAGCAGTTTTAGGGTGTTTTTAGGGTTTAGGGTTTAGGGTTTAGGGTTTAGTAGGGAAACACCCCGAGGCTAGCTTCCGAAACTCCCCCCCCCCCCCCCCCCTCTCAAAAGGCCAATGTGCAGGTGCATCCGCGCTTCGCGCCCCAATCATTAACCCCGCACATGACACCCCAAAACCCTACTCCCTGAATCCTAAACCCCAAGCCCCTACAGCATCTAAGCCCTCAAGCGCCCGTTGTTCGCCCCCACAGTCCTAAACCCTAAGCCCTAAGCCTTCAACCCTCAACCCTCAACCCTCAACCCTAAACCCTAAACCCTAAACCCTCAACCCTAAACCCTAAACCCTCAACCCTAAACCCTAAACCCTAAACCCTAAACCCTAAACCCTAAACCCTAAACCCTAAACCCTAAACCCTAAACCCTACCCTAAACCCCAATCTCTCCGCCAGGTGGCCAAGGCTTTTGAGGAGGTGGCTCAGGCGACGGGTGGCCGCCTCGACATCCTCGCCCTGGGGCCCAGAAAGGGTTTAGGGTTTAGGGTTTAGGGTTTAGGGTTTAGGATTTAGGGTTTAGGGGTCTTGGCTACTACGAGAGCACTGGTTCAGGTTTTGATTTGCATGTTAGTTCTTTGGCCCGGGGCAAGTGAAATTAAACAAACGCACCCGCAATGGCTCCGGACGTAGTTTTTCCAGCCACTAGCAGAGTTAATAAACCCTGAAACCCTCAAACCCTGAAACCCTCAAACCCTGAAACCCTAAAACCCTAAACCCTAAACGCCTACATCCTAAACCCCTAAACCCTATAACCCTAAACCCCCGATGCCCCAAGCCAAAAAAAACCAAGGAGGTCGCTTCGATCCAAAGGGGCAACATCCCAAGTCTTGAGTTTAGGGTTTAGGGTTTAGGGTTTAGGGCCGGAGGGCCTTAGAATGTCTAGGGTTGAGGGGTTATGCATCGAATCTAGACTTGGAGGTTCATATGTCGCGATAGGGTTAAAAGTAGGGTAGTTAGAACTTAGGATGTTCCCCCTTATACGAACTGTCCTTAATGGGGGTTATACCAAAGGGGTACTATACTCCCTATGAAAGACTGTTAGCATAAGGGGGAATGTCCAAAGTCAGCACCTTAATTTAGGCCACTTGCAACCCTGCTTTTAGGTACCCATGAACCTTTAAGTAGGGTCGAAGGGTGAAGGGCTGGTGCCCCAGAGAATCCCCAAACCCCCAAACCCCTAAACCCTAAACCCTCTCTTACTATGTATATTTAAACCCTAATGACCTTCGTCGGCATATTGTTTTTTTTTTTTTTTTTCTGGGCCCTAGGGTTTAGGGCCCAGAGTTTTTTTTTCAGAGTTTTTCAGTGTTTTTCAAGGTTTCTGAAGGTTTTTCAGGGTGTTTCAGGGTTTTTAACCCTCAAGAGGGTTTAGGGCTGTAGGGTTTGGGGCATAGGGTTTGGGGCATAGGGTTTAGGGCCCAGAGTTTTTTTTCAAGGTTTTTCAGAGTTTGTCAGTGTTTTTCAAGGTTTTTTGAATGTTTTTCAGGGTGTTTCAGGGTTTTTAACCCTCAATTCTGATGAAGGGCCGCCCCCGCGACCTTTTCACAGCCTAGTTTTGGTCAAGGGGGGGTCGTGTTTTTCAATTTTAAAGGCAAAATAGTCTTCGGAGACCCCCCGTGCCTCAAACTCCGACCCCCCCTTGAGAGGGAAAGTTTGCTTCCAAAAACACCCCAAATGAGGGGGACCCCAGGATCGGCCCGGGCCACAGTTAAAAATGCGATTTTTTAGTACTGAAATCGACGGTTCTGTGTGGCCTCTTGTTTCTGGATTTTTGACCAAACCGAGCCTTTACCGGTTTCAGAATTTCAAGTTTTTCAAGGTTTTTCGAAGTTTTTCAAGGTTTTTCAAGGTTTTTCAGAATTTTTCAATGTTTTTCTAGGTTTTTTAATGTTTTTCCGGGTGTTTCAGGATTTGTTTTCAGGTTTAGGGCTGTAGGGTTTGGGGCATAGGGTTTAGGGCTGTAGGGTTTGGGGCATAGGGTTTAGGGCTGTAGGGTTTGGGGCATAGTGTTTAGAGCTGTAGGGTTTGGGGCATAGGGTTTATGGCTGTAGGGTTTGGGGCATAGGGTTTGGGGCATGGGGCATAGGGTTTAGGGTTGTATGGTTCGGGGCATAGGGTTTAGGGCTCTTAGGGTTTGGGGCATAGGGTTTAGGGCCCAGAGTTTTTTTTCAAGGTTTTTCAGAGTTTGTCAGTGTTTTTCAAGGTTTTTGAATGTTTTTCAGGGTGTTTCAGGGTTTTTAACCTTCAGTTCTGATGAAGGGCCGCCCCCGCGACCTTTTCACAGCCTAGTTTTGGTCAAGGGGGGGTCGTATTTTTCAATTTTAAAGGCAAAATAGTCTTCGGAGACCCCCCCCTGCCTCAAACTCCGACCCCCCCCTTTGAGAGGGAAAGTTTGCCTCCAAAAACACCCCAAATGAGGGGGACCCCAGGATCGGCCCGGGTCCCAGTTCAAAATGCGATTTTTTAGTACTGAAATCGACGGTTCTGGGTGGCCTCTCGTTTTCTGGATTTTTGACCAAAACCGAGCCTTCACCGGTTTCAAGATTTCAAAGGTTCGTCAAGGTTTTTCAGATGTTCCCCCTTGAGAGGGAAAGTTTGCCTCCAAAACCACCCCAAATGAGGGGCCACCCCCCCCCACCCCACCCTCCCCGGTTTGAGAATTAGATTTTGGGTTTTCGGCCAATTGGACCTTTAAGCCTACTGGGAATGTATTGAGTGGACTTTGTATTTTCTCAATGTTATGGGTTTCTTGGGTGGGTGGGGTTTTATTCCAGCCCTTGACAAGCTGCTTGACTAGTGAATGCTCGGACTTGAGATGCTGAACCCTAAACCCTAAACCCTAAACCCTAAACCCTAAACCCTAAACCCTAAACCCTAAACCCTAAACCCTAAACCCTAAACCCTAAACCCTAAACCCTAAACCCTAAACCCTAAACCCTAAACCCTGAGCCGCCTCAGGTGAACAACGCCTTCCAGGACCCTTCCTCAACGCCCGAGGCGCCTCCTTGGTGTCAAAGGGGGGTCTTTCCGTCCGCTCAAGAGGCCCCAAACACCCTAAACCCTAAACCCTAAATCCTAAACCCTAAGCCCTAAACCCTAAGGCCCCAAGAAGTATCCAACTCGCCTCCCAGCCGAGACCCCGCAAAACACCGAGTAACAACCTCCGTCGCACCTCCAAAACCTCCAAGCCCTAAGCCCTAGACCCGAACAACCTCCAGCCGAACAGATCAAAGCCCAAAGCCTAAACCCTTCTAGGACCCTGAGCCCGAATCTCAAAGAGCCCTTCTGGTTGTAGGGTTTAGGGTTTAGGGTTTAGGGCTTAGGGTTTAAGGTTTAGGGTTTAGGGTTTAGGGCTTCGAACCCTAGAACGATACGCAGGTCGAGAAGAAGCTCTCCGCTGCAGCGAAGTTCTACGAGCTCCCCATCTCTGCCCCCTGCCCGGGATTCAAGGTTTAGGGGTTTAGGGTTTGGGGTTTTGGGTTTAGGGGTTTTGTTTAGGGTTTAGGGGTTTAGGGTTTAGGGGTTTAGGGTTTAGGGTTTAGGGTTTAGGGTTTAGGGTTTAGGGTTTAGGGTTTAGGGTTTAGGGGTTCCCACACCCCTATACCCTCCCAACCCAAACGGAGGTTTTATTTGGGCCATCATGCCCTTATCTTCGCTCAGCACCTTTTCATGGGACTTCTCTTTACCTGCAGCTTAGTGGGTTTTATCTTGGGATGTTCCCCGTTATACTAGCAGTCCTTAATAGGAATTATAGTCGGGGGGTACTATAATCCCCTATGAAGGACTACCTAGAAAAAGGGGGAACATCCCAACTGATACCTCCGAATTAAGGGGTAGTTGGTACTAAACTTTAGGTCCCCCTAATCCCTAAACCCTAAACCCTAAACCCTAAGACCCTAAACCCTAAACCCTAAAACCTACACCCTGTAAGAGACCCAGGTATGCCGTCATGAGGTTGTAGGGTCCTTGAGGGTGGGGCTTCAGAGCGGTCTGGTGAATCCTTTCTGGGCACTGCGAACTTAATGTGCCGGAAGCCGAGCTCAAGTTTATGGTTTAGGGTTTAGAGTTTAGGGTGCCCGAGCGGCATTTGTGCAACTGGCTTCGCTTCTCGTTGTCTCGGACGAGCCAGTGAAGGACATCTGTCTAGGCTGCCCAGTAGTACCCTTATTCCCTTTTTGGGTGGTTTAGGTTCCCTTATAAACCCCTTTAAGCAAAAAAGGGCACCCTTTTTAAGCCTAGGTTACTGGGCAGCCTAGCTGTGTTCGTGCAAGGGAATGTTTTCCGTGGCTTCGCATGCCTGTTCTTCCCCAGGGCCACTTGGGTGCAGAGGCCATGTCCGCTGCCTCAAGAACTACGAAGGCAAGAATGGCTCCTGTCTTCTTGAAGACAGCTGTTGACGGATTTAGGGGTTTGAGACCTTGAGCCCTTCAAAGGGGGACAAAGCCCTCTCATTTTGGAGTCCTTAAGGGAGGGTGGTTTTAAGGGGGATCTGTTCCCTAATGCTCCCCACTACTCACCAAGGCTCCCCAAGCTTCCCTACAGTTCCCTAGGTACTTACCCCCTATGAACCCCCTTAACACCTAAGCCCCAAAACCCTAAGCCCTAAACCGCACTTATAGAATCCTTACTTTTCAGGTGCCACCCGATAGCTCTGCCGGAAGTTGTCCGTAGTCGAGGCCATCAAGGGTTCCCGCGGAATCGCCCAATA